CTTTCTTTCTTTCTTTCTTTCTTTCTTTCTTTCTTTCTTTCTTTCTTTCTTTCTTTCTTTCTTTCGTGGCCACTGGGGCTTGTTGAACATTGTCGCCCCCGGATTGGTGTTGGTACAAACCTGCCTAGGAAAATATTGGCATTATTGCCTCCAACACCCGTTCTCAAAAAATAGACCTGCATGCTTTTTGCCTTTTCCTGCTCTCGTACCTGCAGATAGGTTGGTTTCAGCGCTGTTGCTAGGCTCTGAGAGGAATGCAAAATATGAAAATAAGTAAAATGAGCGCTCTCGTTTGCTCAGATTTTGTTGCTGGTAGACATGATGGTAGAAGGTATCAAGTTTTACTAAACTTTTTTCAGTGAAAAATATCTCAGTTGTCTGTTTTGTATAGATTTCACTACTCTCTCATTGTAAATCAATCGGTTGCACAAATTTGTACTTGCAGAAGTTGCCTTAGGAAAACATATCTGCTTTTAAATAGGTAGTTGTTGCCGGATGTATCTTGAGATAATAGGTGCTTGTTAAATGCATGGCATCCTTTGGCCTTCAAATGAGTATTTATTATTATTTATTAAACCAATTTATATAGCCAATGAAGTATGAAGGCCAACTCAGCATAGGGAGGTAAAAATACGGTCTTCTAGATTTCTTGAACTATAATACAATAAACTCAAACCAACAGTCATGGATTCTAGGAGTTTTAATTTCCAACCTCTGAAGGGCCCCACAGTTCTTACACAAAACAATTTATTTCCCTAAGCTGAAATAAGGTTAGGAAAAGTGTTGCATTTTCATAAAAGTAACAAGATTGCACATAAAGCTAACAAATATATTGGCTCATAAGCTTTCATGGATCCAGTCCATCAGTGCACAAATCTATATATAATTATTCTGTTGAGACGAGCAATTTGTGCAGAAATATTTATTTGGGCAGGTAAGAAAGGAGAAATAATTAAAAAGTGAGAGAGAGACTTGATTTGGATGTGACTAAACATAAAGCAGCAGTTAGCTGTGATACATCCATTCTTGTATCTATAATATAAGACCATTTCTTATACAATAATCACATCTTCTTAATCAGGCTGTGTAATTCCTTTCCCAAGGTTGGCCCCACTGAGGCCAGTGACAGAATGTTCTCCAGAAGTAAAGTGTTCCCCCACTGGTGCTTGAATATTGTCATTTCTGTGGTCAAATATGTCTTTAATTAATCAATTGATGTCCATTTATTATACTGTGCATTTCACTATATTGGAGCATTGGTCATATGTAGATAATGGTAGGATGAGCAAATGTATTTTCCCTGGTGTTGCAGGTGACTGTGATAGGTCTTGTGAGGTCAGCATCAGGCTAGATATGGGTATGGACTTTTATGTATTGCGGTTTTAGGCTGGGTAATCCAAGGGTTTATATCATTCTTGCCGAAAGTTAGGTACATCAGCACTTTTTAGCCTAGACTCATTTCTTCCAGGAGATGCTAATTCATTTCTTTTGCAAATGACATTTTAAAAAATAATTGCAATGCTGCTATTTAAAGGGATTCACTCTAGAACACTTACTAGTGAATTTCCCTGTGGTGCAAGGGTCAGAGAGCCCCTCAGATGCAGTAGCTACAAATTACGCATTCCATTAGGAGTGCTGCTTCTAGAAGGAAATTCTAAAATGATTATTTAGCATTGATATTTAACTAGGCCAGTGATTCCTGACCTTTTAAATGGCTCACTCTACTGTCATTCAGAGCTTTTGTGGACCATTAAGAAAGCAAACCACTTTAAGCATTTTTTAATGTAGCGTAGGGGTGATGGGAGTCAACCTAAACATCAAGGGATATTTAAAATGGAGTTATTTGTAACTATTTATTATGCTCCCTCACAAGCATATTGCACTCATCATAGTACTGCATTTTTAGCTCCAATGGTGGGAAAATGATACCACTTAACCACCTAGGGACCCGAAGTCAACCTCATGTCTTTATAAATAAATAGAAAATAATTGTTATTTTCTATTCCCTGCCATGAGATCCCTACCATATCTTTATGGACTGAAGATCGTCCTTTGATTGGAGCTTATAGTTCTTAAGAAACTGGGAATACAGCAAAATAAACTGTAATCTGGGCTAGAGCTGTGCTTGCTTTGCAAATGGTTAGGAAGGAGAGCTTTGGACCCTGCGTGAACACATCACTTCTCTGCCATTCATTAAAGCAGCCCAATTCTTTACTAGCTTCTGTACAGGCCTAAAAAAAGATGTTGCTGCTTTAAAAGTGACATTTAGACTTTTAAAGCAGCAGCATCTTTTTTTCAGGCTGGCACAGAAGCCTGAAAATGTTGGGGCTGCTTTAGTGAATAACAGAGAAGTACTCTACATGGTGACGTCTGAAACAGTTCTTCCAAATCACATGCAAAATGAACATAGCCCTGTTCTATGCCTTAGATATTAAAGCAAGGCAAATATTTACAGACAGTTAAGAACACAGGTTTTCTTGACAAATTAATGCTTTGCATGTTCTGTACTTTTATCCTCACTTTTATTATCACTGTAATGGAAATCATACATGTGTGTCTTTTTCTTTAACAGTCAAATTTCTGGAACTCATTAAGCCCTTCTGTGCTGTTTTACCTGAAATCCAGAAGCCTGAAAGAAAAGTAAGTGCTTTGCCTTGCTTATGCAAAATTCACAGAATGCTTTTTAAATAAGACTAAAGTTCTAAGTAAGTCTTATTAACAGTATGAAATCAGTTTGTGAAAAGAAATTATGGGAAATTTGGGTATGTAATTTTCAAATATCAGAATGAGATTGTTGATGTCTAGCGTGGGTTGATGAATTCTCTTTGTTCTTCTTTGATTTAGCCATGTTGGACACAATTCAGCAAGCATAGGTTACTGTTAAGGCTGGAGTTTTATATACCTCTGAAAGCAAGTTCTGCTGATTTTGCTGACTTATTTCTGAGTACACGTGCATCAGATTTCATTGAGCATCCATTTAGCCCACTAGAAGAAATATTTCCCTTTAGTCATGCATAGAAATGGACTTAGATTTATCCAGCAACAACATAGGGAAGCATTTGTGAAAGTATAAAAACTATACATCTAGCATGACACTGTTGTCCACCAAGATCCCAGCCCATCATTGGATTTACTCTTTGAACCTACTTGCTGTGTACATCTAATAATTCCATATAACTAAGTGTAAGTTTATTTTACATATATTGTAACACTGGGTTGTGGTTTTTTATCTTGCTGTCCTAAAAATTCTCTATTGATTAACTTGGTTTTATTTGTTGTGCTTTACAGATTCAATTCAGAGAAAAGGTTTTGTGGACAGCGATCACCCTCTTCATTTTTTTAGTATGCTGCCAGGTAAGAATTGACCTAGTTATGGGCCAAGGTTCTTTAAATATTCACCTTCTGTCAGACCAGCCTACTGTCTGCCCTGCGTTCTTAGGTAATCAACAGGGTCACCATTGCAGGTCCTGCTGCAGAAGCCCTTTGATGTCAACAGTTATTTCTGTTGCTTTCAAGGTAAATGAAGTTGGACCTAATTTTGAAGGAAGCCCCCACCTTATTCCAATTTAGGAAGGCAGACTACAAAAATACTTTCTTCTGTTTAATGGCTTAGTGTTTTAAGGTTAAGAACGTTCTGTTAGTTTTGCATTCTGTATTTCTTCTCTGTAATTATTATTGCTGTTTTTGTTGTATTTTTGTAAGTCGCATTGAGATGTTAACGGAGTGGACTGCCTATAAATGTTCTTAAATAACTAAATTATTAGTGTTGCTAATAATGAAGCATTAGTGTGAACTTTTGGAAACTGTAAAGGATACTGATAGTTCCAGACATTTGACATCATTGACAGCTTTTATAATGAAAGCTAACTTGAAAAAAAGTATTGCAAATTATTGCATTGACTCAAAAGTAATGTAGGGCTTTTAAAATCTTTGAGTGTTTTAGAATATAATCTTCCTGCCCTGGAGGTTCTTAGTATAATATAGCATGTCAAGCACTTGCCAGATACTGTGTGATCCAGAAGGGCATGAAATAAAATATTGACAATACAAGCCCCTGTATAGTCTCCATCAAAAATTGCTTTGCTGTTTTTGTCTAAAATGATTCAGTATTGTGTGTACCTTTCTCAAAATTGCCTTTGATTGTGTTTTATTTTTTCATGCTTAATATTGTTATGAATCTTGTAGATACCGTTATTTGGAATAATGTCCTCAGACTCTGCAGATCCTTTCTATTGGATGAGGGTCATTCTTGCATCAAACAGAGGTTAGTGGACTTCACTCACTTTTTCATCTGCCACTGTCTCTTTGGCTTACTAATTTTGATAGGAAAGTAGCTTAGATTTCTGGGGGGGAAACCACATTTGTCCTTAGGTTCTCCAATGTACTGATGCCTGCCCTAGATTTTAAATTAGGGGAGGGCAATATTTTTCAGCCAGGGGCCATCCTTAAAAATTAAATAGCTTGTCCCATTGCTAAGGCTCTGAACAGCTTCCATAAAATAATAAATAATCAGAACGTGTAACATGAATCCTAAAAGCAACATTAAAGCTTCATGATTCATAAAACAGCATTCAAATATTTCAGATATAGAGCAACCCCTGCTATAGGTCTCATACTTGTGATGGCCTGACACCTTAGACCTGAAACACATACACTACATCAAAAGAGTTCAGGCAATCTCAGAAGGCCTCAGCAAATACAATGGGTTTTTAACACTTTGCAGTTGTTAATTGATAAGATACTTGCAATCTCTGTCACATGTAACCTACTTCTGCACAACCAACCTGTCTTCCCCTCCCTGCCTCATTCCAGTTTAAATGCTACATCAGTCAAGCCATTCAATGCATCCAGTGAAGGGAGCTGCAGCTCAGAAAAGCTGATGCCTTTTAATAAAAAGTGTTAGTCAGAAAAAGATGCTACCAGACTCTGTGATGCATAATTACCCAGAAATTGTTGCAAATACATGGAATATGATCTTTAAAGACTAATAACCATGAATAACAGTATGAGCAAGAAGATATAAAATATAGAAACTGCGTCATTGGAAAAATACATGATGATGAATATGGAATATTTAAGGACATGATTAAGAATTCTATAATACAGAACACCACTATTAAACATTTGTTTGCTTGTTTGTTTCCCTTCCATCCTTCTTCTACAGGCACTTTAATGGAGTTGGGTATCTCTCCTATTGTGACTTCTGGCTTAATTATGCAGCTGCTGGCTGGAGCCAAGATCATTGAAGTTGGCGATACACCAAAAGATCGAGCTCTGTTCAATGGTGCTCAGAAGTGTGAGCATTAATTTCTGTGCCTTGATGGAACTTTCTTTTTCTCCTTAGCAAATGCAACATCTAACTACTTAAGCCTGTATGGTTGTAGGAAGAGGACATGATTGTTTGTTTTCTTGTTTCAGTGTTTGGAATGATTATTACTATTGGGCAAGCAATTGTATATGTCATGACTGGGATGTACGGGGATCCTTCTGAGATGGGGGCTGGAATCTGTCTCCTGATTATAATCCAGGTAAATTCTTTCTTGCTAATGCTTCCTGATATGTTTGTATAGCTTTCAATATATCTGTGGGGTGAGGAGGCAGGGAGAGTTTAATACTAGACTCAGCAAGTTTGGAAGATTTGAAAGCTGCAAATATATATTCCAAGACCTACAGTGCTATTATGTACAGAAGGCTTAAGTAGTTTTTGATGGCATGATGGTCCTTTCGGAGACAATCCTTCTTCACAAAAAGCCTTCAGCTCACTGAGTCATTGTGGGTTCTTCTGTTCGTTGGGATGAAATCAAACACTTTCATCCAGTGATGGGAGCCTTCTGTTGGTATGGGTATCCGGGGAGAAGATGGGCAAATACTTCCTCTGTAATTTCCCATGCTTCACTAAAATCTTCTCAGGAGTCTCACTCATCTTCCAGAAGAGATCTGGACAAGGTGGAGCACTGTTGGAATCACTGGACAATTTTGTCCTTGCCTTGCTGTCCAAAAAAATAAATTTGATTCTGTATGTTACAGTCGCTTAGGCAAGAACTGGTACTAGACT